GACCCCGGGGATGGCACCCATGGGTACATGGGGTGGGCAGGCCTGGAGATGGCACCCATGGGTGTCTTGGGACAGGGGGTCCTGGGGACACTGCCCACAGGTGGTCGGGGATGAGGGACACTGGGGATGGCACCCATGGGTGCCCAGGGATGAAGGACCCCAAGGATGGTGCCTATAGGAGCCTGGGGATGAAGGACCCTCGGGACAGCACCCAAGGAAGAGGAGCCCCAGGGAGGGTGCCTGGGGATGGGTGGCCCTGGGGATGGCCCCCAGCGATGGGTGGCCCTTGGAGAACCCCCTTGTAGATGCCAAGGGGGACGCACCCAACCCCCAGTGGCACCATCCTTCCTGTCGCCCGGTGAGGAGGGACCCCAAAGCCGGGTTGGGGACAGTGTGGGGGCGGCACAAGGCCCCCACCACAGCACCCAAAGGGACTCGTACGTCACGCCCGGGTTGGGGGTGGGTGGAGAGGGGAGGGGATGGGGACGTGGCGCCGCTTTGCCGCGTCCCAGCCTGACTCCAACCATCCAGAGCACCCACACTCTTGCCCTCCCCCCCTGATCCCCCATCCCCTCCTTCTCCATCCAGCCCCAGGAGATTTGGGGAGGGGACAACGCCCCAAGGTGGAGCAGGACGAGTGGGTGCCGGTAATAAGAGGGGGCCCGCCGCGTCTTGCCCTAATCTTATCAGCGTGGTGGCGGCGGCGAAGGGGGGGAACCGCAGCTCCCTCCCACCTTCGTCTCCGGCGTAAAGGGTTGGGCCCGTTGTGGTCAGTCCAGAGCTGCCCAGGAAGGTGGAACACCATAGGGACGTCCGGACCTTCTCACGCCCTTTCTATTTTGGGATTTGATAAAAATTACTCAGCGATTATTTACCGGCCGCAGCCCTACTTTGCGGTTGATGACCGTGCCGGATTCGGCACACAAAGTCCCCTGCGACCGGTGCCTCCGGCTCAGTTGCTCCGTGGCTCCCGGCTCCTTCAGGTTCTCCTGATGATGGAGCTGGGTGGCTTCTTCTTCTTCTTCCTCCTCCTCTTCGTCCCCTTGGAGGCTTTGTCAGGTAAGAGAGGGATGAGATAGTGCCATCTCCATCCTGCCGGCAGCGGGGGCGTCGTCCCACCTCCACCAAAAAAATCCCTTGAGGGTTTTTTTTTGGCTCTTTCTGAGCTTCCCGCTCCACTGGAAGCTCTTCTTCAAGGAACTTGGACCACCCAACTGCCTTTGGTACATGGGGGTTAAACCCAACCCATGGGGTGTCCATGGGGGTGCCCCACCTGCCCTTTAAGGGCGAAGTCACCCTATGGGTGCCCGTTCCCTTCTTCTCGTTTCTGGGTGGGGGTTTGGTGCCTTGGGTGTGGGTCAGAGACG